CCTGGGGGACCGGTGTGGTGGGGGGGGCGCACACAGCATGGGTGGGGGAGCCACTCACTCTCCAGGTCTGGCTGCCTGGCTTGGCCTGGCCCAGATATCAGAGCTGGTGCTGCAACCGCATCGGCCTCTGTCAGAGTCACTGAGGCTCCTGTCTGCTCTGAATACCAAGTACCCAGCCAGCTCCCTGCCCCCCTCCTGGCCAGTGCCAGCCCCCAGAGGGGGCAGGGGTGCCCCAGCTGTGGGGAGGGAGCCACTCACTCTCCAGGTCTGGCTGCCTGGCTTGGCCTGGCCCAGATATCAGAGCTGGTGCTGCAACCGCATCGGCCTCTGTCAGAGTCACTGAGGCTCCTGTCTGCTCTGAATACCAAGTACCCAGCCAGCTCCCTGCCCCCCTCCTGGCCAGTGCCAGCCCCCAGAGGGGGCAGGGGTGCCCCAGCTGTGGGGAGGGGACACTGACTTGCAGGGAAGAGGAGGAAGCAACACAGGATGGGAGTTGAGAATATGGAGGCTTGGGAGGGGTTGACTTTGGAAGAGGGGGTGCAGGGAGATGGGAGGGGTTGGGGTTGGTCCCTGGCCTGGGAGAGGAGACCAGCCAGGAGAGCCGGAGATGCTAGCCCCCTCCCCGCCTGCCCAGTGCCTCACAGCCCTGGGCGCCAGGTAGGCAGCTGGTCCCTGCCACTCCAAGTTAGGGCAGACAGGGAGAGATGCTCCTGCCTGCTGGTGCTGTGGCCTCTGCCACCCACTGGGGAGGGGAGAGGGGGAGGGGAAGCAGCCTTAGCCCATGCGTGATAACATGCACACACATGGAAAACCACACCCACGTGCACTTGCTAATGCTTGCATGCCAAGGTCACTCAAATGGGTGCACACCACCCTTCCCACAGGCAGCAGGTGCAGACAGGCATGCACATGTAGCTGTGTGAGCACACACATGCCTGTGCATTAGCAAGCACAAACGTGTGCAAAGGTACCTGGGCATGACCCCACATACATGCACATAATGCTCATACAGGAGCATTGTGTGAATAGAGAGGATAGTGCACACACATGCTTACCAACTTTTGAGTGCTTGCACATGTATAAACATGTGTGTGCTCCTGAACCCCAACAGAAATACAAAGAGGGCAATCACAGAGAGCACATAGGAAAGTCTGCTCAATGCACACATGTTCTCACGTGAACTCATGAGTATTTTTACAAGCATGAGCATGCAAACTCACATGCCAGTAGCAGGTATTTCCAGGTGCTGCACTCTCTCCTGTAACCCAGGCAACAGGGTTTCCTGCCTACGCGCTGGCATATGGCCGGGAATGCACACTCAAGCGTGCACGCTTGTGTCTTCACGCCCCTACACATGAGCCACATAAATGGCTGCAACAGCGGCACATAACATGCCAGGGACACACGCACACAGAAGGCACAGGAAGCCTCTGACATGCTGAGCACACTGCAGCTCGCGTGTGCATACTCATTGCACAGCACCACACATACATGTCTAACATAGGCATATGAGAACACCTATGCAAAGTACCTGAACAGACAGAAAACACCCGTCACATGCACTTCCCCCACATGCATGTGCAAATATGCCCACCACCATCCCTACACAGTGCTTTACATACATGAGCACACACAAGTAACCCCTTCCCCATTGTATCTGACATTGGCACACACTTCACCTCTCCTTGAAACATGAGGACATGCACACAGGGCCTCACACACAGGCATGATGCATGTACATGAACATTCACTCCACAGCACCTCACACAGGTAAACACATGCACCTATCATGCTAGCGCACATGTGGACCCACACAGCATACAGCACTTCAGATGCACACTGCACCTCATACACATGTGAACAGATGCATCCTGCACCCATACCAACATGGCTGAACATGCATTCTGCAAACATATGAACACTCACTGCACAGCACACGTGAACAGGCACATAACCACTGCCCTAGAATACATGTGGGTACATCCATCCTGCCGTATTTCACATGCTCCACGTTTCACACATATGAATACCTCTGTGCAAACATGCATGCCCATAACAATCAGCACAGATGTGAACAGACACACACCCACTGCTCTGCACCTCACAAGCATGTGACCAGACACGTTATTACACACCACCTCACCCACATATGAACACAATGTTGTGCATGGAGACACTTGTCACACAGTACCTCCCATACATGCAAACAGACACATCCTGCACTTCATATGTGTGCACCTACACACAAGTACATGGACATCCATCCCTCAAACAGCCATCTAAGAACAGCTTTTCATGTGCAAATGTGAATATGCACACAGCCATTGTACATGGCCATGCTTATTGTACAACGCTTTGCATATGCTACACTTCAGACACATGAATATACACGTGCATGCTTGTGAGTATGCCAGCACCACATACATACACACACAAACATCCAACTGCAAAGCATGTACGCACACATGAACATGCACACACCCATCACATTGGCCTGCACACAGGCACTGCATGCATACTACACACCCCACAGGCATGAATACAGGCATGTGCACATACATACCAATTGTGCTGATATGTAGGGGAACACTTACAAACCTGCGGTCTTGCAATTCACCCACCCATGTCAACATGCAGTCACATGCACATGGACACCAACTACACAGCATCTCACAGACATGAACAAGACCCCCCCCACATGCACATATGTGAATGAGTCTCTCATGCCCATGAACACCCATGGCACAGCATGTACACACACGTAAACACACACTGCATGCCTGTGAAAGCCTGTGGCACAGCATGTACACACCTGTGAACTAGCATTTTATGCCTGTGAACACCTGTGGAACAGCTTGCACATGCACACACCCATCACACTGGCAGGCCTGTGGGCACACCCGTCAGCCAGCACTTCACACACACACACACACACACACAAGCACGCACCTGATACACACATGGATGCACACACCTGTCACACCAGCAGGTAGCACCCTTGTCAGCACACACCGCGCCAGGCAGGGCTTCCTCAGTGCTGACGCCCACAGCACCCACAGCATTGCTGGCTCTGCTCCCCACCCCCACACAGTGAGTCACTGCACTAGCGCTACATGGGCATGGGGGGGGAGGGAGGGGCTCAGCCAGGGAATCCCCCCAGCGAGCAGGGCTGCCCACACACCAGCCAGACAGCCCCTGCCACAGACAGCCTGGGGCTGAGATGGGGGCTGGAAGCTCAGCAAGTACCAGCCCCAGCCGAAGGCTAACATCCAGCCGCTAAGCAGGGCTGGGCCCACCCAGAGCCTGAATAGGAAATGCCAGGCAGTGCTCTCCCCTGGCAGTGGGGGTTGCCCCGGGGCCCCACAGCCAGATAGTGGGACAGGGGGTGCCAGAGAGCAGGGGAACAAAACAGAAAGCAAGGTGGAGGAGTCTGTGTCATCCCCCACTCCTATTCCAAAGCTGGAGGGAACCCAGGAGTCCTCGGTGCCTGTATCCTTCTGCCACCACTACCCACTAAATCTTTGTCCTCTCTGTTCTAGATGTAGTCCCCTGCACTAACCCACTAGACCCTGCTCCCATCCTGGAGCCCTGATAGAACCCAGGCGTAGGGGCTCCCAGCCCCCACCCTGCTGTAACCCATCAGATCCCACTTCCCTCCCAAAGCTGGCAAGGAACCCAGGCCTCCCAATTCCTCCCCCTCTGACCCACCAGCCCCTTTCAGGTAACCCGAGCCTCCTGTACTGCTCACACAGCCATGCCAGGTCGATATGGCGCATGTCGCTGCCAGGAGATGGGATTCCCACCCCCCTGCCACCTCTGTGCCAGGAGATCCCCTCCAGCCCAGTGCCATGGTGGGGGCCGTGTCACAGTCCAGGCAGCTCAGGGCAGAGCCTGACCCCCCACGCGCCCCTGCAGTAGCCAGGCTGGCCCTGACCCAGCAGCTTCTGCGCTACCAGGCCTGGGAGCTGACTTCACTCCATCCAGTAAAGTCAGTCGGTGTCACAGAGCCAGGCCTGGGTGGGGGCTG